ACGTTTAACGTAGGTCATAAACATTTGGTCGCGCTTAGTTGCGACTTTTTCTACTTCTCATGGCCGATATGGCGTCGAGTCGCACTACTTTGGTTTCATTCACTTCTGCTGCAATCAAGCGAGACACATCTCCTAGTCTCACGGAAGAAAATATTTTCATTGTATTTTCAGCTCTCTTACTATTTTTCTATTTATTACAAAATATAATATATTATTTATCATGAAATCCATAAATTATACACCTTATAAATAAAAATAGCGAAAAATAATATTGAAGCACAGTCCAAATTTAATATTGTTTTCGTGCTTTCTTCTTTAAAATGCGAGAAAATGCAAAATAACAGAATATATAGCGACTGTAAATTATTAGTGACAGGTTCAAGGTTTTGCTTATGTAATGCACATATGCAACTTGTACATTATACGGTCAAAATACACGCGTCGTCGAACTTTTTGCGTCGCACGACACATTCGATCGATTAATCATAGTGTATATTCCAGGAACTCCTGTTCCGAAACGGTCTCGCCTTTCCACTTGACGAATGTTTATGTACTTTGTCAGCGCCTGATGACGTTAATTATCTTGATTAATCACTCTTTTAATGTAATCTTTAATTAAGATTTCTTGCTTCTCTCTGTGAATAAATCGTGTAACGGTATACAGGTATAGGTATTTATTTAAACGGCTTGAACGGCTTCTTTTATGGACGGTCTCCCCATACAGTAAAATCGATAAAAATTCAATCCGTAATATATTTCGTTCATAGGGAAACGAAAGAAATACAGTATTCATTGTTAGCTACCATTGTTAGCCGCGGAATAAAACTCTTGGACTTTCATCGATCAGAAATCGCACATTTCATGTATCTCCGCAAATTCTGTCGAATAATGTCGACGTCACGGGGAATCCGTATGCCAATTTCGCATCATTTTAGACGGCAAAGCGAGCCGCAAAATTCGCACTTTTTATTCATTCCGCTTGCCGGATTTCGTTTTGAGCTGAGCTCAGCGCATGTGATAGATTGTTATATCATGTCGACAGTTGTAACGCAAAATATGTTACATATAAAACGGGTAACTGAGTAAAACACTGTCTGTTACGAAAAACTGAAGAATTTATAGACATTCCGGAAAAATTATTTTTGTCTGAAAATATGTATATCTCTCTTTCGCTGTTATTCTGATCAAGGAAATTGGTTTTTATTTATTTATTGTAACATCTATTTAAAACTTAGAAATATTTTGCAATAACTTTGTTAATATCAACTGTGATCATCTCATGATTCGCGATATAACATTAATTTGTAACATCACTTGTAATTTCATTTGTTTTTACTCAAGTCGACACTACGAGTGATGAGCATTGCACTATGCCGTAAGTTTTTAGTCTTTGTCGCAAGGTGCAATTATGTCGCGCCAATGAGTCAGTCGTGACAAAACGCGTCCGTGTTACTCATACATAAAGAACGTTGACGTAGCGGAAGCGGAAGCGCGCTGCGAAAAGACCTGACTGCAAGAGAAATGCGAGTGGTACGACTGGTATCTTTGTCACACAAAATCCTCGCCATTAAGTTTCATACTGCACAACAAGAAAACAGAAAAAAATATTTGACAAAACCCTGGAATCATTTTCTTTCGAGTTTAGTTTTATTGCGCTTTTACTAAAAGTTTATCTCATACAAGTTCTTTAGTCTCTTTCACGAATCACAACAATAAACAGTCACAAATTTAAATTTTTTTAGATTACAATTTTACATTTAGTGCGAAACATAATTTTGTTGATGGTAAAACCAAATTTTCATTTTCTTACTGAAAACACGTATTTTTCAAATACAATTTAATGATACAAACTTGATTGAATATTATTTCGAATCGCTTAACGAGAAAATTGCAATTTAAATTTGCACCTTTTTGTATAATTCTAAATTCTTAACTTTTCAATTTAGTTAATCTTTTTAAATTAAATTTTGCAATATTTTCTACAATTACTCGAGTATGTATATTGTAATATAAGCGACAAAATACTTATATAAATTATTAGTATAGTTAAATATATTAGTCAAATATAGCTGCAGATTTTGATATTAAATTAACAAACAATGTGAAGAACGCATCTGCACAACTTATAACCGCATCCTACTATTTTTCGATTTCATACGTTTTTTGCGAGAAAAAATTTTCAGATATTTACTGCTCACTCATGCTCACTTTTTTCGATCTTCTCAAAAGCTACTCACCAATTTATTCTCGTTTTACATCGTACAGTAACGCGAAACGCACCCGGAGAATTCAATTAATGCGAGTGCCTATAGGAATATGGAGTTTGTCTGTCGGCAACGATGCCGAAAACACTATTTTGTTTTGTAAATTACTTCGAAACTCTCGATAACACAGTATGAGAGGACGATTCTTTTCAACCGACTCGGTTAAAACCAGAGAGAAAATTTACAGCCGGCAATTCACCGTTATTGGTTATCTTTTTCTAAGCAGGAACTCTTACAATTGGATCGCATTTTCCTGTCGTTACTTTTTCCTTTGTCCACGATCCTTCAGATTTTCTTAGTGCCGCATATTTTATATGCAATCTGACCGGATAAAGAAATTGTAAGGTTTCTCACTGCAAAGAAACCTTCAGCGCGTACATTATAATCAAATATTTTCTGTTTGAAAATCTCTCTATTTATAACAGCAATTTTATATAATTTATAGCTTCTAATTTTAATTTATGTCTTTGCTTAATGATGAATAACTTTTAATTTAATTATACAACTATTCCTAATTATGTTTCATATCTATATTAAATTGCAACAATTCTGATCTGATTTGTTATACTAAAATTTTACATTAAATACTTTATGAATATTCAAATAATATGATTAAATTTTGTTAGTGCTTTTAAAGTTTTTTACGTGAGCATAATATATGTTATCGAGCGCGCACTAGTGAAGTTAAATCACACGTCCAACTCATTTTGTGAATAAATATTTGCCATATGCATGTACTGTTTGCTCGCATCGAGTGAAACGTATGACTGAGTTTGCGCGTCAACGTGAATGAGATAGATAGGGTAAACCCGGGTAAGATGGCCATAGTTTTTTAAAATAAAAAAAACATACTTTTATTTTCGCAATAAGTTTTTTTACAGGTTTTAAGACACTTTTAATTAAATTTGAGAGAGGATTATTATTAATTCAGATTGATTGTGTTTTGAAAGTTCGAAACGAATCAGCGCTCAGTCATATTTCTGAGATAAATTGATTTGAAGTACATATACGGGGTGTAACTAAAGTAAGGGCGCAATAAACTTCGGGGTCAAGCTTCCCCACACTAAACATGAAAAAAAATGTATATGAACATATGTCCGCAAACTCATTGTTACTGAGATATAGCTCACAATGTTTATTAATAGGAGAAATTAAAAAAGTAATATTTATTATTTAATATTTTTTTATATATATTTAATAAGTGGAGCCTTTCGTATTTAGTTGATGTTTATATAATGGTCTTGTTTCTAGTCCTATTATTTTTTTTGTTATTTTTTAATGTATTTGATGTATACATATAACTTCACTAAAGCTTAAAATAATAAATACTATCGAAATTGAAAAGAAAACAACAGAAATTTAATATTATCAAAATAGTATAATGTATGCGTGTTGATTTTACCTAAATTTTAAGAAAAAGTTGATCACGGTATATTTATATATATTTTTTTATGTTAAAGATACGTGTAACATTTTGTAAAATAATAAATAAAATTTATATTTCCATATATTTAATATACAAATATATATATATATATATAATTATATTGCAATAGTAACATAAAAATTATTAAATTCTTGTAAACTAAGGAAATCAAATAAAGATTTCTATAATTTAAAAAAATTGTGTGTGTGTGTGTGTATGTGTGTGTGTGTGTTACTTAGTAAATGACCATCTTTCTCGAACTGTGATGGAAAGATGGTGATAGTATAATACAAATAAATAGTAAAAATGAAAATACAAATTATAGGTCACATTACAATGTACGTATTTTTACGTATTTTATTATATATGTAACGACGATTACATAGCTCAACTATAATTTATTTGATGTTATAGCAGCTTTTAGTGGACACATTCAAAACTTTTCAGAGACAGTCAAAAGTAAAAATATTACATAATATTCATAATATTGTTGTTTCGAATAGTACACGCATATAAACTACTGTAAATATTGATTATCTTTGAGAATGACTATAAAAATGCACTATTTAGCAATTATTGGAGAAATCACAGTTTATGGCCATCTTTTCCATATGGAAATTGCTCTAACTATAGGATGTGTTTTGATACGAGTTATATTTAAAGATATATATATATATATACACTGAGAAAAATTTATAATTAACAATTAAGAAGATTCTGATTACATCAATCAAAATTGCGATCATGATAATTGGGCATCTGGTTATCTCGACTAGAATTATAATAGGTTTAACTATAAAATTCTGATTCGTCTATTTTCCACGATAATTCCGATTAATGCAACCAGATTCTTTTTCCAATATACTCTTATGTACTTATCGATTAGCTTTAATAGCATTATCATTGAACGAATCGTTTGTACTAGAAATAATGTTTTAATAAATAAGCAATTTATTAAATAAAAAATAAAACGATGCAACAAACATAATTATTAGTACGTAAAGTTAGAAAAACAATGGAAATCGTAAAAAATTAATTATACGTTCTGTAACAAAAATGAGTAAATAAATCATAAATTAATGAATAAATATTATATTATCTTAACAAAGAGAATGTAATTATGTGCAACTTATTATCCTTATATTACAACTGAATTAAAAGTTATTAAGTTTAATATGAAGAAAATTATCATGATATATAAAACATGTTATATATCTTGAATTATAATTATATACAACACAACACTATACATGTATCGCGTAATTTTTGTAGTACTTGTATAAAGTAATAATGTTTTGTGTTTTTTGCAGGATGAAAAGAACCAAATACTTACGACCAACGCGTGGTTGAAACTGGTGAGTACAATCAAGTCTTTTTGTTTTTCTTTGTTCAACTAATTCGTATAAGAAAAAATTGTTTATTTAATTTATTAAAAATTTTAAGGCTCGAATATTTTAAAAAACTTTAAAAGAAGATTTCATTAAAAATTAGGCAACAAATATAGAACATAATGTTATTTATTTGCATAACATTCATTTTTTTGTAAAATTGTTTGTTTGAAATTCTTGCTGAATAAAAGCCTCTTTGATAAAAGTTTGTATACTTGACAGAAGAGAAAAGTACTGTAATGGATGTTATCCATTACCAATGTTTACGACTGGTATGTTTGTACCTGTAATGGTTGTTGGGTAAAATAAATATAAGAATTAATCTTAGTCGACAAAGCAAGTTTCTAAGCTTTTGGAAAAGATACGTTTTCTCAATTATGCAACTACATATACGCGAATATATTATTACGTAAACGATAAATAGGGTTACGTGCACAGATTCTTTTGTGCATCTTCTCGTAGCTTCATGTTACGTTGGAGCAAATGACACGTTGAAAATGCGTTCGCGGTAATTCTCTCGGCGAAATAGCCAGTTAACAGAAAATCAATAACTACACCGGTTACTTTTCCATAGCTTGCGGTCTTCCCATTTACGAGAATGCGTTGTAATATCGCTGATAAAAAATACATCTGCCGTCGCAACGTGCATGAAAGGGAAAGAATTTAAGTGGATATATCCGGTTAGGTTCAATAATTATATTCTAAATGCAATTCACATAAAATACAAAAAATTAGCTTTTTGTAACGAAATTTTTAAGAAATATTTAATTGAGCGATTTTGTCAGATATTTGTGTAGAAATGTTTTATTTCATTTACGAGTCAAATTGGTGACTTGTAAATCAAATTGGAAGAGTTTTATTGAAATTTTTTTGTCGTGTTCGTATCTGCAGCTGCACTTATCATTTTAAAGTTCTCAAATTAATGTTTTAAAGTTTAATTTTAATTCTAATATGTTAATATTAAATAATGTATTTAATTTTTATATGGTATTATGCTTAATGTAAAATACAGAAAAATACGATAGTCAACGTTATTATTTTATTCATATTAATTACAAAAACTGTGTGTAAGCGGAACAATTGTTATTAATATTTTAGGATTAAATTCATGACAGTTGGAGAATTGATTTCCGTGCGCTCACGTCACTTTTATGCATAAATAACTCGTATACGGCAGATCAATTCACAGATTCTTTCGCTATATTACCAATCGGATCGTGTGAGTGAGCAATCAGTAGATCAGAAACTCGAGAATGCAGCGGCTGCTATTGTCGTTTCGTCTCCTTATGCATCGACTGCTTCGTAGGCGAGCATCCGCGCCAGACAACCGCTTCGTCTTTATCTTCCTAAAAAGGTGCTCCGTGTTTCCCTTGGGTGCAAAAAAAAGGCAAAGGCACAGCATGAGAGTAAGAATGTGAGAACAGGCGGGTTAAGGGAGGGTGCTGTAGATAAGGACGCGATAGAGATGAGTTCGAGAAAATCGAGAAAGCAGAAAGATGTACTCTGAAATCGCGATCCCCTCACTATTTTTCTCTCTCTTCGCTTTGTCCTTTTTCTTGTACTTGTTTTTCTCGACGGCGAGATGGGAGGCATATCGAAATGTTGTTGCTTGTCTTAATTTCATCTGGCATAATAGAATAAAACCACGAATTGTTGGCACACGTTTATGATACACGTCATTTGAGTTTTCGGAAAACTAGTTTGATGAACATCGCGAACGCGCGATATCTTTAAACGTAGTCTAGCTATCTCTTTCTTTGGCTGCAGCATTTGGTCGCACTGATGCCTTAAACCGCCTGCCTGCAAAGTAAATTATCTTTTATGCAGCTGGCGGACGGTGATTAATTATTTACTGTGTTTGCGTTTAGCGTCTATGCCGGTCGCGAGATAATCCGGCTCGACTTTTTCATCGCGAACTTTTCGCAGTTTCGTTCATGGTTCCTGAAAATTCCTGAAAAAAGCTGGGTACACATAACTGGCTATAATTAATTTTGGATTTCATGATATCAACGGGGCGCTCCAATGTCTCCCCGTCGCTATAATTTTTATCTCGTTCGTATATCACGTAATGTCGATATTATCTTCTGAGTTTATAGCCACTTTATTATCTTTAAGGAATTGATTTTTGATGAAGAGAAATGTCTCTTTTCTGCTTCTTGTGTGCTTCCACCTTGGTGTACCTTTCATCATCTTTTTTTCATTTCATTCTCGATTCTTTTTCTTTTTTCTTCTATTCGTAGATTCTGATTGTATCTTTTTTATGACATTGCTCTTTTTGCTCGAACCAATCTGCTAGTAAAGTACAGTTGAAAAATCACAGACAGCTGTGAGGTTCTTCTTGGTAATATTGAATCAAAAGGGAGAAAAGTGCTTAAAGGACGCTTCACTGTCAATTCATTAGCGCTGTGAAGCGTTAAATCCTAATTCTTTTAATTTTATAAATCTTTTATACATCTTTATATATGGAATAAATTATTGATACTAATTCTAATTAAAATCTTAACCATTTTCATATGCGATAATACTGGAGATGTATTCTGTAAAAAGTAGACAGTACGAATTTTAAAATTATTAAAGCTTAAATTGAAATGAAAAATTCATCCTCGTCTCGTCACGTAAGACAGCGAGCTATTACTTATCACGTAAACTGCCTTCAAGATAGTCAATCAAAACTTTCAAATTTACTAAGCAAAATGGAATTTTAGAGCAGTACTTGATAGCAACCTCGTATATGTTATAAGAGCACATATAACATACTTAACGGGTGTGTTATGTTTCATAATAGAAAATAAAAATACGTCTCATAATAGAAAAATATTATTAGAATCGCGAAAAAAACTATCAAAAATAATTGGGAAAACTATTCGAATGAAAAATGCATACTATTCGTTCCAAGTTTTTTTTCCTAATTCAATAATTTGTTTCCACAAGAGTTACTTCCCTGTTGCTGTTGATGAATGTGAATATATCTACATATAAAGCAATATCTTTTGTAATTAGGAAAATAAATGAAATATATATATATATAATATATACACACACACACACACATAATATATAATCTGTTTTGAATACCATCGTTTCCCTTAATAAGTCGCTATCTTAACTACGCGTGTTGGCAAACCTATAAGAAAACATGATGTTCAAGTAGCACTTTTATAAAATTTGTTATTTATCAAACCGGACTCTTTCAGTTTGTTGAATAATTTATTGACAGATAGCCGATACGCAGCTGCGCGGTTTCGAGGATAGGTTAATAATATAATACACTTTACTCGCACGAATTCATATTGGAGTAGCGTATAGATCGAGGTAATATTAATCAATGTTCCAAATCTACATAATGAACGAATATGTCGACCATAATAGAGCAAAAATTTCTTTACATAATACTCATTTTAACAAGATTCTTATATTGGTTCTATTACATTAGTTATCTATTACACATAAACAAAAGAAATAAATTTAATTAATTCTAAAACGCTATCGATATTGAGTGATACTATTGTTATTGATACGTAAATTTTACGTAGAAGAAAATAGGCCTTAATTAATGTAACACAAGATTTTCGTACATGTTACTTTTTTAACGAAATACTTATAATTTGGACTTTTATAAACACTTTTACATAAATAATGTAATTATTAATTTAAAAGGAAAAAAATAAGCATACTATAAAATTTAATTTTTAAATAATATAGAGTATAGTGTTTAGTGTTTTCTTATAACATTTCAATAAAATATATAACAACACAAAACAAAGTGTCTTATAAGACCGTGATGTAACTATACGGAAATAAAGACGCTAAATGTAACGAATCGGAAATAAAGACGCTAAACGGTCACGCTAGGTTTTTAATGCTGAAATAATTACATGCGAATTTATTTTTAAATTGATCTTAATATTTTGATGCTGATTAACATCTAGCTTCATTACGAAAAATATTACCTCGGCTGCGCTGCGCTGGGGATCGAACCTGGATCTTTTGCATTTCGTTTGAGCGTTAACTCCTAAGTCTTTAGAGTTAAAACTTTAGATCACTAAGGCCTTAGTAATATTCTTCGTAATAACTCATGTATATGTAAGTACATATATTTAAAGGGAAAATACGCTTTTTGAAGAATTGGATATATAATACATAAATTCACACAGAATTATTTCAGCACTAAAGATCCAGCTTGACCATTTAGGGCCTTTATTTCCGATTCATTGTAATAACACAAAACTGATTAAAAATTGAAATTACTCTTATTACTCTCTTTCTGTTATAACACTGACCACTAAATAGTCCAAACTGGTATATAACGGACTGTGTGAAGATTTAGAAACTTGTCCCAGCTTTTAGCATCGCAAATTGGACTTCTTGATGACCATTAAAGCCATAGTTAACGCTCAATGTAATCTCGCTCACTTCTACATTAAATTTATGTACAAGCATTCCACGATATTAACGAGTCATTTCATATTCCACCTTAAGAATGATGATCTTTTACGCAGCCAAATTTGTTGCATCGAAGTAAAATCAATTTCAATCATTTTCAGCCATGCAATAATATCATCTTAACACTTTAATAGAAACATATCGTTATTTTTCCTATACAATCTACAAATTGTAAACAAAGTTACAATTATTTCTTGTTTAACAAAATTGTAACTGATTTTTAATATTAAAAATTTTTTATTTAGATAAAATTGACTAAAAATTAGATTTACGTTATTTACACGGTTTACTTAAAAAATTCCGAAATTAATTTTTCCCTGAATGTACAAGTAATACCATTTTTCCGACAACTTTTTAGTACCAATATTTGACTACTTGTACGATTTTTTTCACGGCGCTGCCAACAGTATATTTCGAGACGGCTGTGTGGATTTTGTTAGATTTTTTCTCTTGTAAAAGTTTTTGTAATACAGCGAGTTGTTGTAAAATTTTGTTTCAAAAGTCATACTTAGAAATTGTCTCAG